CGTAATTGAAGACTGTAAGACCGCTATTTCCAACAATAAACGCGTATCTCTCTGACGGGAGTATGGCAGTCATGGGTATGCATCCGTCCGACGTCGTCAAGCCGCTACGAACCGACAAACCCAGATCAGTAGAACCGCTTGAGCCAATTACGCGGGCACAGTGGGCAGTCGAAAGATACACATTGTTAATTATGGTCACCGCAGTGGAGGGGGCTGGGAAAGATCTAGAGCATCTTAGAGTTAATTTCTTGATTAAGATTGAAGGACGACAACCCTTCTCAACCTATGATTAGGGTAAACTTGAACTTCAAACGGGTCCTTTGTCGAGTGAAAATTTGAAGGGTACATCTGTGATAAGTTCGTTGAACCTACGCCTTTCATTCCAGATATTAATTAAGAAGTATATCATGGTGCATGATCGGTGACTCATCATTGGGTACAACAAAATGGCGCTTGGCAGTCTGCGTAGACTGAATGAGTATCAGGCTAACCGCATGTGAACAGACGCCAATGACTCTTCTTGAACAGGTCCACGATTCGTATTTTTCACCACCCCAGAATGTAGCCAATCAACGATGATCATGTCCAGTATCAGCCGCTCATCTCCCTCCGCCAATGGGAGAACGAGCAGTCGGGACCGTGATCAATCACCAGGTAGTCTATTGCTGTTAGTCTAGCGGTTAAACACCACGCAGCATGAATAGTATACTTTCCGTTCCCCTTCAATAAGGAACGAGGGGAGGAATCATGCCAAGTGACCAGCCTCCAACTAGATATGCGGACGGCCACTCGGTAAGGAGGTAACAGCAGACTAATCCAAGCGAATAACGTAGGCAAATATAATCACGGTATTTACCGCATTACAGATTTCGCACAGCTTAAAATGTCCAGTTGAGCAGGCAGGCCAGTCGTATTGGGACCGTTAAGGAACGTAATAGCTGAGTCCCCCTAACATAGCTCTGGTTTACCGAGTTTGTTCCCCCGTATACATCAAAAAAGAGGTCAGCGGTAGGGCGAGTGAAAGTGCGAGACAGAATATTTGAAGATAAGGATTTCGGTTTGCAAATGACAGACTGCAGCCAGCGATGGTGCGGGAAAGCGAGGAATTGCGTACATAGAGCTCTACCTCCGCGAAATGATGTTTCGCGGCTTGCCAGTGAGCCTTACGTTGATAATGCATCAGGAAAGCCAGAGACGACTCAGAATGCTCAGTTTCTGCAGGAGCCGGTAGTACGAGTGCGTACGCGTAGGTTGAAGAAGTGTCTATCCGTTCTCCTGTCGCTGCGGCAACTGAAAGCAAATGCGGTTGACGAAAAAGAATGTGCCGTATAGAGTGGTTAGATATCGTCGCAATGAGAAGGTATGATCAAGTCGAGGAACGTTAGGTGCCTTCTCCGTCAAGCTACAGTGAAATGATATGGGCAGCATAGCTGCGTCGTCAATCTCTGTCCCTCACAAAGACAAGGTTGAGTAGCTTCTTAGTTGAATGAACAGCCTTTGTTCTCCACGATGTACTCATTATCCTGCCTTAGTAGCACGTATTATCTGTATAACCTGTCGGTACGGCAAGTAGAAACCGTCGAAAAAATTACTTACGATCGCATTCACGCGAATAAGTCTGCATCTGACCGCCACGAAAGAGGTGAACCAGGATGCCCACGCACTTCATACGAGTGTGATCCACGGGCATGAGAGAAATCGCTTCTCGGGAGAGTCGGACTCCACTGACTGGGGTCAGACCTGGCTGTCGCGGCGAGAACAATCCTTCGTGGGTCCAAGACAAAACGGTTGCAAGAGAGTGATGCGATAACGGACTGCCGGAGATGAAGAAGACATATCGATGCCAGGGCAACTTATCTGTCGGTGTCACTGAATCTTGCTTCCCGTCATTAGGTGCAGACTACTGATGATGGACTCGGACTCCGTGCTGAGACCCGTAGAAGTGTGGGGATTCAGCGAGGCGGAGTACATGGCGAGAAACGTCCCGAGTGGAATATTATGGCACGACGGTCCAGACGCGTTGTTGTTATCTGAATACACATGAGAACGTCCTCGCCGACGATATTTTACCAACCCACTTACCATCAGCACCTCGGTAAACCTAGCACCCCTAAGATCAAATACTCACGTCAAACCAGCTAACCAGCTACGTCTCGCTTAGAGCTCCAGACATCCCCCACGATAAAGCGTGCAGCACTCATTATCTAGCGCCTCCATTGAGTACAACAGGCAGAAATGTCGGATGGATTACTCACCGGCAGACATTGCGTGCGCCCCGCTTCAAAACATGAGCAATCGTCTGAAATTGCGATATTCCTTCATAGATAGAGCCGAGGGAGATGTAAAGTTTCGAAAAAGCTTCAAAGCAATCCCGCTGAGAGACTTTGCCTGTTGGAAGGAGGAGGTTTTTATTCTGGAGATGATGGCATGCTCCGAACAAGCAAACGTTCCCACGGTGTATGTCGCTGCGCTATCTTCGTGTATCGACCCTCCGAGCACAGTTTTGTGAGAATGATGCTTGATGACGCCGACTGACTCTTGTGCAAGTCCGATGCATAAGGAAAAACTCAAGGTCACTCGAAAAAAGGCGTAAAGTGTTTGATGTCAAGCAAACCGAAGAACTACGACATAAACTTAGCTAAGAATAAGCCAAAATGACACCAAGACCTACCAGCCTATCGCGCAAATCAAAGCCGAAAGACTGATACCTAAAGCCGAAGCAAATTAGTGAAAGCAAACGATAAAATTTAGATCCCACGTACCGTAGTCAGATATAAAGACCCTTGAAGTCCTTGGACACGTAGACCTTCAGAGAGTCGACAGTAGCAGAGAAGTTCTTCGTGGTATTGCCTTGAAGAACCCAAGACTCCTCGTCCTCGATATTCGCCTCCAACTTGATGGTAGTCACCATGCAGCAAAAGTAATTGCGAAGGTACTCATTGGGGAGCGCAAACAATAGCCTGCACTCCCATGAGCTCCTCTTCCTCTCCTCGGTCGACGGGTAAAAATCCGCTACCCCTTTCTCCTTCTTCTCCTTCAAGTAGGTAAACGTCGCCTCGATGGTCGTCTCCAAACCGTGTATGTCTACCCCCGCTCGGAGGGCATCATCTAGGAAGGCAGCGATCTTCTTCGCCATTACGGAAACCGTGGTATCAGTCTGAGATATGACGGTACTCCTGAACAGAAAGTTGGCGACGTCGAGGGCCTGGTAGCAATCGATGGCGGCCTTGAAATCCTTCCAGTCGAAATGTATCTTGCCGGTCGTGTCGTCGAATTTCACGTAACGACCGGGAAATTTCATGAACATTACGCTGGAGGGTACGAGGCTCTTGGGTAGGGTGGAAAACTGGTCGAAGGCGAGCTCGGCTATGTACCAATGTCGATGAGTAGGAATTCAAAGGGAGGAAAAAGAGGCCAACGAACGATTAGCGCAGAACTTGTCCCTGTTGGCGGTAAATGAGGTCAGATGCATCTGGAGGTGAAAAGAAGACATACTTGAAAGACATTATGTTCGTTGATGTGAAGGCGAGTTTGTAAGAAGATTTGAGGTCTAACGTATGAGGAGTTTGATATATGTCCAGGAGATGCGGTGAAAGGAGACGAGGGCGAGACCAGGAGAGTCTTAGTTTGAGACCATCGACCAACGAATCGCGAGATCCTTCGTGAATCTTCGGCTTCCTAAAGCGCAAGGCAATGTGCAGATTTGCTGGAGTTCAGAGATATTTGAAGGAGGTAGATTGGACCGGCTGTTATCGTATTCATACTGAGCGCAAGCACAAGGGCCAAAAGGACACACCTATTATTCATGGGACGTCATACGTATCCCTCGAGCCTCGAGCCCGAGTAGTGACCATCTTGAACCTCGTTGTAAGTAGGTAGCTGTCGAATAGGTAGACTCCTCAAGGCGAGATGAGCGTCGATGAGCATTGACTCGGAATATCGAGGACCGACTAGGATGGTTCCAAGTTACGTTCAAAGCGAGGAAGTTGAGTGAAATGTACGAAGAAAGGAAGACTCGAAGACCACGTGCGAATCTCTCTTTCAATTGTACCTGAAGCTCGACAAGCCGGGATGTCGACTGGTTCTGGTGTGGTGTGCCTTTTTTCGTTGGATTGATAACATGCGTGGTATTCTGAGGCTGAGGCAGGGAAAGGGAATGTGACACTAGTGGCTTGGACAGATGTATATCCAGGGAAGAATACTTGAATATTCGTGGTAAGCGGTGTAATATTAGCATAGCACAGCCGGCGCGTCGCGTCTGGTGGCACTCTGGGGCAATATTGTCTGAGTTCACGTGTCAAATGACAGCAGGCTTTTGAGAAGAAGGAAGGAAGGTGTTTTTATTAGTTGTCGGTGCTCCTGAACAGAAATGTAACGACGTCCGTACTACAGTCAAGTAAAAATAATATATGGTACGGCAACGAAGAGAATTTGGTCTTAGGCCCTAAAATCGGTGCAAGACTTGATTAATGATTACCTGACTCGACCGACGACTACCCTACCCTACCCTAATTAGGGTTGCGCACGAAACCCTAGGTTTTGATACAGTAGGGTTTCGGACCGGTAAGTTACCGGTTAGTTACTGGTAACTTACCTCCCCCCGCTGGAGGGGTTTTCATCGAGGTAACTTACGTGTCATGTGATGATGCAGGAGCCACAAAATCACCGTCATATTCAACTCAATGAACATAATTTATGTGTACAAGATAAAGTTTTGTTCTGTAATGCTCTGCACTAAATTATAGCTCATAGGAGAGGAAAATACGCACAAAGCGCGAAGATAAAGATTCTGGATAAAAATCTGTAATTGCTGCGCGTCAATCATGTGATATTCGCACGTGATAGGTAAGTAACGGTAAATTACCGTATCAAAACACACCCCTTGGGGAGGGGTCGGTAAAAAACGTAAGTTACCCCCCTTGGAGGTTTCGTGCGCAACCCTACACCTACCTGTTCCTTTGCAACGTGGATTCCTCAACAAAACATACCATACTTAGAGATGAGTCGACCCAGGCTCGAACTGAGGACCTTCTGTGAAGGTGTTTCCCGAGATTTGGTAATGTTAGACAGATGCGATAACCAGCTACGCCATCGACCCATTGAAGAAACGAGATGTTCGCTTTGGGTGTATCAAGGTAAAACTCAGAAACTTCATAGAACATTGGTATGGACCACACTAATACAACATCGAAAGGGGCAGAGAAATGGTCTACGCTAAGCAAATACGTGTTAGCACGGAACGCCAATTCAACAAATCAAACCAAACCTCACCAGAACGCGTCGAGCGCAACCCGAAACCCTCCCCATGCGCGCACGACGGTAGCACATCTACTCACTGCGAACCCCAGTCAGCCTTCCGACAACGCACCCACACCAACGAGCAGACTTACAGAAGCGACAAGGTGATGTCACCGTTGACCTTGGCCTGGATGGCGATCTCGACCTCGAGGTTGAGGTCAAGGCGGAGCTTCACGGATGCGGGGGGTGCGGCGGCGCGCTGGGAGCGGCCGACGATCTGACCGCCGAGGACGGAGGAGGATTCGGTAGGTGCGAATTGGGTTTGTGGGGCAGACATTGTTGTGCTGAGGAGGGAGAGTGCTTGGGTTGGGACCTTTATACGAGGAGGGTACCCCCAGAACGAGCGTTATTATGGATTGCGCCATGAATGTCGACCCGGGGCGAGAGCAACGTTATGGATTGCGCCATGCATTTAACAACTCGGGTGCCTCGTCGTCGCATTAGATGAGAAGAGAAGAACTAGAGTCGAGAGAGGTTAAATTCCGTGGGTTGTCATCGTAAAACACGTTCCAAGTTCGAACACCCGGGTACCTCTTGGGTCGCCCTGTGATTGGTCTCAGGCGGGGACGATGCGCACGGGTAAGTTCTTCTTCTCCATTTGGAGGTGGAGCGACGAACGGGAACTGGCAGAACGTAGGCCTTGTCGTAACAGCCTAGAAGTAGGGCACCTTCGGGGAAAAAAAACTTGAAGTGGTCATGGGAGGAAGAGAAAGAGGCTCGACTCTCTAGTTCCCACGGATGTATTCATTGGTTCTACCACATCAGAAAATTTCTCGTCAACGAGGCAAAGTTGCAAGCTTTCATGTATATTCAAATGAAATATCAATATCAATGGTTACACGAGCATTCCCGGGTGAACAACGTTCTACACCCAAGCCACCGAGTACCCCGCAACGGTAGATATAAAAAGACGCAGCTCGTTGAGTGTTTTTCTTCAGCATCACAATGTCTGCCCCACAAACCCAATACGCACCTACCCAATCTTCCTCCGTCCTCGGTGGACAAGTCGTCGGCCGCTCTGAGCGCCAGGCTGTTGCCCCACCCGCAGCTTTGAAGTTGCGCCTTGACCTTAACCTCGAGGTTGAGATCGCCATCCAGGCCAAGGTCAACGGTGACATCACCTTGTCCCTCCTGTAAGTGTGTTGCTCGTGTTGGCGTGTCGGAGGGCTGACTGGTGGGTTTACAGCGAGTAAATGTGCTATGCGCATTGGGAGATGGAGTCGGCGCGCAGTCGTCCGTTCGAGGTGAGTTGGATCTGTTGGCGAGCTCGTCGGTTTCGTGCTGACGCTTGCTAGGACATCGCCACGTACCGGTTACATTCTTCTCGTCGTCTTCGGTTGACAGTGTATTAGTGTCTGTACACCTATTAGATACCAATGTCACTGTTCTGGGATCATGCAATTGAGATTTTATCAACAGTAACGCGCATGTTCCAAGTTTCGAGGCGGTAAGTTTGTCAACTGGAACTGTCGGGGATTCCTATCGTGATTGAGAACATGGTACAGTGTAAGAGTAATTTGGGCGGCATTTCCCGATGCGTTTCTCTCCCGCATCACGTTCCAACTCGGTCTACTATGCATTCCTCTCGCTTCACCCTCCGCTGCAACTCTACATCGTCGTGAGCCAAATCCTTAGAGCGAGCAAGTCTGGGTTACCATGATTCTCCTCTCATAGACCACCCAGCCAGGTTCGCTTCCTCGCTTGCATACCGGCAGCGCACATCCGCTATCATCATGACCTCCAATCTCCCAACGACCACGGCGGAATCCATTCCTTGACGGAGCTCGACGGCAAATTTGCTCTGGAGTGCGAGTATCAGGAGATTCGCTGGTCGTCGTTACAGTGAGCCACGATCCAAGCTCCGTGTCTTTTTCCTCGCAATCCAATGCCTTCGTGCAAGCCCCGGGGACAACTAAACTAGGAGGCGCACGGTCTGCCTGCGTACTCGTTAGGGCCTCACAGTTCCCGCCCACGTTGAACGTTAATATAACGCGGCACTAGGCCATTCCATACCGCACTGCTGTTTCAGAGATGGAAATTGCAACGAGAACCTCACAGTGTTCGTGCAGTCGCCATCGAGCCAGCTCCCGTCCTTTCGATATTCAGTTCTGCGGCAGACGACAACGAGAGTTCCACGCTCGCGGATACACGGATCTGATGCTTATAGGGCGTCGATGCCAGGCGCCGGGTAGATCGATTCGCGTGCTGCAAGGAGGATGTATGCGGCTTCTTTTGATTTCATCCCTTGTATGCTTGCTCCGTCGATCCGCGCGTGGAGTTGATCCCTCTCTTTGTGTGCCCTCGGTCGGAATCCTCAGTCTTTCCTTACTTACAGAAGAGTGCCGTACCTCGCCATTTTCTATCGTGCGGTACTGCACTTGTGTTTTTCTATATCCAATACATAATCCATTATGATTCTCCGCACACTATGCCATCAGCATCTTTACCTGTGGACAACCTTCGTATCCCTATCTGTTCATTGTCTCGACAAGGGTGTACTGCTCCGTCTCCTACCCAACATTCTAGGCATGCCTACGCCGTCAGGAAGTCCGCTTGTTTGCTACAAGGTTACAGCGACGCTGCGGATAACGTGTCTGATGCTTTGGCGTGGAGTCCGGCTCTCCCGAGGCGTAATTCGTAAAACGGTTGGACGTGACCTGATCCTTTTTCAGCAAGGGGCATCTCAAACAAGCTCATTCTTTGACCCAACCCCGCTAAAAGGATTTGGATGTGAACTAGCTGGGAATCGGGATAATTGGCGGGTCTCTTCCCCTCGTCACTTCGTCGTGCTCAACCTCTCCCCGGTCCTCATTCTAACTCGTGTTGGTTGAACTTTGCGTCTTTCCTTACATTCCGCTCTCGTGTCCTCTATCTTTCGTCTTTCGCTGAATTTCCACGAGTTCCGAGTGACATTTAGCAAAGACCCCGAGTGCGGAGATCCACAAGTTTATGGCGGTGCCCATGAATTTTGTGACCGCAGGTACGGGAGAGAATTAACGGCCCGGTGCCAAAGTACTGGTAACGCTCACAACCACGGCGGTGTATTTCAAGCTCGCTGCTCTACCGTGCACGTCGATGGCTATCGCACCCGTCCTCAGCTCGAATCTGGTTTTGAGTGTGACCGATACTTTTTCTGCCTCGTGGACACTGGAACTCCGACAGTCAACCAGTGCCCTTGATGCTCTGCTCGAACTTCAACTCCGAGTAACGAATTCCCCCCCCCCTTCTTTTATCTCTTCCATCCCGTGCAACTTTCAGTTAAATTGAATCGCAGACATCACCGTTTTACATGACTACGAACTCAGCTTACTCCAGATTGGTCGCTGCAGGGGGTCGTCTTCAGATATACCTTGACAGTGGTGAGCCCATCTCGCTCGGTGTGTACTAATAGCTCCAACAGCCGGATGCTCTCGGTCTCCTTCCACGTCTTGGATGAATCACGGTATTCTCGTTCTTATCCACCAGTGGGGAGCGAACTACAACCGATCTTGGAGAGGAGACCAGCATGCACTCAAAATACAACACTAGCTCATCCTAGTGCGGATAAGTACAGTCCGAATCTTGAGTCTTGAGCTTTGCTCGCTGGGGCGATGGCGTAGCTGGTTATCGCATCTGTCTAACATGGCTTCTATGTTCTGTATGTTCACAGAAGGTCCTCAGTTCGAACCTGCGTCGACTCATCCCATTTGCATCCAATATGTTTTGCTCAGCAAGCGGGTAACTTATCATTGGTCAAGTTGTTACTTGTAACTTGGGTTCTAACTTCAAAGTTCTTTCAACTTTCCAACTTCTCATTGCTCAATTCCAATTTCGGGTCCTGGGGCGCCCGCACTAAAACATATTCGCTATTGCTGCCGCTCGCGCCTGGATTCAAGCCCGTGGCCTGAAGTTACTTGTCGCATCAATCTCCAGTCGGAATCTGGGTCTACTCAATGAGGTGCGTTCATAGCTATGTCTGTACTGAAGGCCATGTGTTGTGATGCTTTGGGCGGAGAAACTGCATGTTCTCTAAATGCCTGAACCTCATCGACATCTCTGAACCTCTCCCAACTCCGTGGGTCGATGGCATAGCTGCTTGTCGCTGATTCCCAGTTCGAGTCTGGGCCGGCTCAATATCGACCTGGTGTACATACTGTGATTTTTGGAAATTAGCCGTGCGTGGCTGGCATTGAGTTCCAACCCCACCTCGACGGCAAGCGCATCTCTTATGTGTTTGATATTCGAGCTCACATCGTCACCAAGCGACGGTGCTGATCATTACCTGTCGAAGTGCTCATCTTACCAGTCGCCGCTTGTTAACGTCTTGTCATTGTTCTCTTATTAGTTGTACGTATTCGTTGCTTATACCCGCGGCCTTTAGTTAGAATTGTCGTATAAAAGGACTGTACTCATGTAGTATACGCCATCTCGTTTGCAACAGATATTTACCCCCCTTTTCTCGCCCATTCAGCCGTCTCGAGCCTCGCGATTCCAATATTATGTGGGGCAAAGACTAGCCCGGTTCGTCGCCTCTTCACCTTGGACCGAACGTGTTTCTCGCTGTAAATCTAATGCATGACTTCCGCGTCCTCACCATTCCCGGTGGTGGGGGTCATACGTAACTTCTCGAGCTCGCTACTCCGTCTCTACCCAGCTGATCGCAGACAACAGCGTGGACTTGTTCAAGGCAAAGAAAGCGCCACCAGGGGTTTCCGTGCAACGCATTTTAGGGCCTCTCATCAGCCAGATCTGCTTCTTCGCTATTATCACGTACGCGACACACTCCTCCTACGATTCCATTCCTTGAGGGACCTCGATGACAAGCAGGAACTGCTTGCTCTGGAGCACGAATATCAGGAAATTGAGCTCCGATTATCTTCGTGCAAACCCACGGCGCGCTGTCTGCTCCCGAGCGTTATCTGCCCTCCAATGCCTTGCGTGCTCGTGTTCACGGCTTACGCTTACGTTACAAGCACATCAATATTGGCAGAACAAGGGCCTCACAGCGTTCATGCAGTCCTGGCCCACGTTGATGTCGAGTATAACGCGATACTAGGCGATTCCACCGCAATGTGCAGGTCCTACCGTCCCTACTTCCTAGCTAGTTCGAACATACAGACTGGACCTCGATGGGAGGTAACTTGCGAGCGATCTACGAATGCCTTTGCCAGTCGTCATTACACCTCGACCTGGCAACGACCGCTCGACGCTCCTCCTGCGCACCCCTGGTGCAGTACTTGGTTACGCGCAAAAGTTGGCATCCCTCGCTGTTTGAAAGATGGCATTCCCCATCGAGTCTGCTCTCGAGCTAGTCCCGCCCTATATTCAGTTCTGCTAGAGCGACAACGTGCGAATGGAAGGATCCGATGCTTGCTTATTGGGCGGTGCAGGGGAGATCGATTCGTCTATTGCAGAGAGGATGTATGCAGTAGGGACCCTTTAGCGTCGAGAGCTGTGTACTGTATAGCGGTTCCCTTGTTGTAAATATGATACACAATCCACTAGCTTCCACGTCATTCTCTATGCCTTGCGTCGTCATCTCAAGGGTATCTCTTTCGAGACGCCGTGTTCATTTTTTACAGAGGTTTTTGCCAAGGGCGCTTCCACACTCGCGGATAAATGGGACCAGTGCTTTGGCGTGGAGTTCGATTCTCCCGGGGTGTATTTCTCTCAAAGTTTGGATCTTTTTTGGCTCATCTTAACAAGCTCGTTGTTATGATTCTTTGACGAGCAAGTTGGGAATTAGGATCTCTTGCTCAGTCCTCGTGTTGATTGTGTACCTCTCGCCTTCTGCGTCTTTCCTTACCTTCCTCCATTTTTGCACCTAGCAGGATCCCGCGCGTAAAGTCCAATTGCTTTATCCATGGATCCGGACGCTCATAACCATGACCGTATACGTCGATGGCGAAGTTGGTTGCCGTATCTGTCCTCAGTTCGAATCTGAGTCGACTCATCATAGTGTTTGTTGTAGTCTCATTTGTTTTCTGGAATCGATCGACTAGTGCCCTGATGCTCTGCTCCCGAGTGACGGCTTTTATCTCTTCCATCCCGCGACGTTTTCCATGCACGCACTCGGATTGAGCGACGGGGAACTGTGGCTTCAGAGCAATGTCTTTTGTGTAGTTTTTGTAAATCTAATGCATGACTCCGCGTCCACGCTCCGCACTCTGGTGGTGGGGGTCCTACGTAACTCACTACTCAGTCTCCAAAGTGCTAACTCCTAATCAAAAGAGGATTCAGGGATATCGATCAGGCCCAGGCCTTCAGGAGTCGGGAGTCGGGACTGAGGATATTTGATACTACTAAGTACTAATGGTTAACCGGTTAGTAAAAATGGATTTCTCTACAATGTAGGTCAACATCCATGAGTCGGCCCAGGTTCGAACTGAGGACCTTCTGTGTATATGATTGCGCTCTTTATGTTAGACAGATGCGATAACCAGCTACGCCACCGACCCAGCAAATTATGGAAGGAACCCGGCAAGCAGACGAAGATATGGTACCTGCGACAGGGAAGGAGAACTCAGCCATCATCCGGAGAATTATCACGGAGACAAGCACTATCTTCGGGTCGAAAAGAACTGGCATACAAACCCGGACCTAGCGCGAAAGGAAGCAGACGATGAGCGCAGGCTGTTACTTCCTCCACAAGCGTCAGATTTGAGCGCATACGGGTGTTAAGCAAGGTTCAATTGTAGCGATCAACGAGTATATGGGAGGAAGGATTCTTGCTTGCTTAGATCGTCGGTCAAAGCTCCCCCCGAATATGCAGCTGAAAGGATATCTCCCAACGTAGCTCGGGTTCGCTACGTTTGTATCTCGGTATGCGCGAAACTGTGAGACACGAAATACTTTTAGATGAGGACGCCGGTTCGCAGATGACAGAGTGCGATCAGCGACTACGCTGATGTCCCAAATGCGGGGAAACGAAGAGTTATGTAGATGGATAGAACTCCGCGAAAGAATGTCTTGCCCCAGTGCTCTACGTCAAAAACGGATCAGGAAAGTCAGAGACGACTCGGAATGCTCCGTCTTGGTCGTTTCGTTTGTGCTAGTGCGTACATATAGGTTGAAGAAGCGTGTACTCCGTAGAAGTGTCAAACTCTACTCGCTCTGTTGTCGCGGCGGCAACTGAAAACAAGTGCAGCCGACGAAGAAGAACGCTCCATGCAGAGAGGTTAGGTAATGTCGCGAAGACAAGATATGATGAGGTCGAGAGGCCACCGAGTTTGATAAGGAGTGTCGGGATATTTGCCCTCCATGATGCAGATACGGGTATTCATCATCCTGCCGTGGTAGCGCGGATCTGGATAGTTTTTGAGCACAGCAAGGAGAAAATGGCTAACAGATTGCTCACTGGTGAGGAGCTTCGTGTCCCATTCGTGCAAATAAGGGACCAGCCTGCCCTATTTCCACGACCAAGCAACGGGAGAGATGTGGACCGCCGTGTCGTATCGTACGACGCGCGTATGTCGTATGTTTAAGCTAGCCACCGATGGCGGTGGAACATCGCTTGAGATTCCATTTCTTCCATGATGCGGGAGTAGCAGGGCGAGAGATGGTGGTGGTAGCAGGGTGATGCTCAAAAATGGACTGGAGTATATCTCTTGGAGCGACCTTGCAAAGGCTCTCCTTCGGGGTAGTGTCTATCCAGATAAAATTTGAGTACGACGGGCATAAAATGTCGAAAAGATTACTCGCCAGCGAGGTCGCGTATCCCATTCACATGACGATCATCACCTCGCTTCGTTTCTACCACAAATGTGGGAGACCTGAATCTGACCGCCCAAGTGTAGGTACGAGCTCCTGCTTGCAGACAACCTAGGGGGAGCTATTTCTCGGCGTCAGACTCGGCTGTCAGCGAGAATGTTCCTTTGGTGGTCCGAGACGAGATGTATTGCAGAAGAGAGATGATACTGGAGACTGTCGGAGGAGAACGAGACAGAAAATGAAGGTTTGTTGGGTTGAATGCCGGGATAGCAACTGGGAGATAGTAACGGTATCTGGATGAATGTTGAATACAGCAGTCAAGATATAGGGTGTCGCTCACCAATACATCGTTGCTAACCGGTACCGTGTCGCGACCCACTGCCCGGCGAGTAGGCGTGATTCGGGGGTCACTTCGCCACAGAAATGGGGAACTAAACTGCCCAAGCGGGTACAAGCACCTGCTTGCAGGAGACCCCTACACGCATACAGAGGGCTGCTTGTTGGCACCAGACACTGCTATCTGCGAGAACAGTTTTCCGGCGGTCCGAGACGAGATGTATTGCGAGGAGAGATGATACGGAAGACTGTGGAGCAGAGCGAGGGAAAGTGAAGTGTTGTTGGATTGAATGTCATGATATCTAGCAACAGGAAGATAGTAGGGGCATCTGGATGAATGTTGAATATTTGAAGTCAAGAGACAAGGAACCATTATACCGGTACCGTTGCTAACCGGTACCTCGCGACCTACCCGATGAGGAGGTCCCTTTTCAGTCCCTTTCAGCGTGTAACGTTGGACTCAGACAACGATTTCATGCAAATTTCATGAAGGGAGAAAGATAAGAGAAATACATATGCAACAAAAGCGTGGGAATCAAAAGTCAATGAGACCACGTGCTACTACTTTTTTTCTATAGTATATATTTCAACCCGTAAACTTAGTCGATGTACAGAGACGTGGCGGCGCTTGCTCGTGGTCAGGCCCAGTAGCTATAGTAGGTGTAATCTGCTACTCTTGCCTTCGCCCTTCATCATCATGTCGTTCCTTACCTGCCGCGACTCTGGATCCATTAACCTCCTTCCTTCCGACCAGAGTTCCGATAGCCTCGTTTCGCAAATTCTACGCAGGCAACGACCATTGCTCGACTCTGACCATGCCTTGTTCACCGCTGAAATCGTCGAGTTGGAACAACAGCAATCCATGTATGCTGTCCAGCTCGAAGAAATCCAGTTACGTAGACGTGCAGTCCTGACAATCCTCGAAAGTCGCAAATCGATCTATGCTCCCATTCATCGCCTTCCCCGCGATATTCTCATCGAAATCTTCGATGATGTTTGTGATTCTGGGTAGCAGGAAAAAGAGCGGAGTGTACACCACAGCCTAGACGTATCCGGGCCTCTTTGGGTTTTGGGTCGCGTCTGTGGGTGTTGGAGGGATACATTGCACAGCTCGCCAGCGTCCTGGGCTCGGAAACTTGTCGTGCGGCAGCCTTTCTCCAAATACGCTCCAGAGATATTGCAGACCTATCTCGAGCACATAGGCCAGCATCTCCTCTGTGTGTATGTCAACTGCACCGAACCGACACAGGGCGATATAATCATGTCTCTTCTTGTTCAGTCCTGCCAGCGGTAGAAGAACCTGCGCATCAATGCTGATAAATCTTATATGCCCTATTTCGAATCTATCTCGCACTTTCCAGCGCTGCAGACGATTGACATAAATTTCTATAATGCCCACGGCCCTAAATATCGGTCGGACATGTGCTTGGGTGCCCGCGGCTATGGCAAGCAAGTCTTGGCGGGCATGGGATCCATCAGATGAAGTTACCGCCCGGGATAACCCATTTTTCTGGTTGTATCGCTTGTCCAGAAGATTTACACCTTTCCCAACTACGGAACCTCAGAAGGTGTCACCTTTGGATGAAACTCGCCGTGGCCAGAAGCGAGGCGCCGGTGGTTACAATGGCACAGCTCACTCACCTCTATGTTGATCGCGGGGATAGTCTCAAATGTTTATCTGCGCCTCGCCTCAGCAGTTTGACCATTAACCCTATCCAACAAGGACCTCATCCATCCTCCGCACAAGAATTTATCACCCGTTTCCTCCATCGATCGAGATTCGAGAGTTTGAGCATCGGAAAGGTAGTATTCACACTAGACACAATTAGCAGAATGTTCGCATTGGAAGCGTGTTCTACCATTTCTCGCCTCAAACTCGAACTTCAACCACGAATGATCCATGGCATCGTCAAAGCTCTCACCTCCCCGTCTGTCCTATCGAACCTTCACCATCTCATTCTTTGTATATCACAGCGTCTAAAGGACGAGTGGGCTGCCATAATCGGCATGGTGCGCTTCCGCCGTGATGCAGGATTGCTGAAAGTGGTTGAAGTACAATTTAAGGAGGAAAGGTATGAGTATCTCTGGGACGAGGATATGCGGGGTCTCACTGGGGACGACTTTGAGATGCGTGTCGAGGAGTGGGATCCACCAGGTCGGGATGTTTACCTGTGGTACCTGCCTTGAGGTCAGGGCGATAGCTTTTCCCTCCTGTGAGTTACCGGCTTTTATCATTGTGTTCTTCCAGTTGACCATTTGCTTTCACAGTATGTGAATGTACTATGTTATCAGAGAAACAACAATATCAGTATTATTTTGCGGTCAGATTTTATTGCTCTTATACCACAATAATTCGGGATCCCAGCGTAGAAAGTAGGCTCGGTGGGAAGGAACTCGTTCTGAAGCGGCACGATCACCTAGTTCATAATCGGCACATCGTTTGACGGTGTTTTCCAAACTGTATCGGTCCGTGCTTCCAGTTTCAAGTACAGTGGAATCTCCTCCAATTGACATGGCGACTTCCTCGAGCGTACACCACAGCAGCGTATTCGCCCCGCCTCAGTTTTCTAGCCAGGTCAATATCCATGTGCGACCTTTGTTGCACCTTTTTGCTCAGTCGGTATCCTACCTTGAGGCTATGCGTCCAACAAGCGGGCACTGTGCAACGAAAAGGCGAGGTGGATATCCATTATCATTATCTGCCGGGAGGGAGAACGGGATCACAACGAGGGCCTCGCTAAGGGGTCTGACGCTTATTGGTGTGGACTCTCCCAAGATGCGATCGAAATACAGTATGGCTGGGCGGGTCGTCGCCGTCTCTTCGGGGTTGGCATGACCTGATGTCGTCTCAGCAAAGGGCGTCTCGGCCTTGCATCAGCGAAGTCAGTCTCGATTCCTTGACCTACGCCCACAGCAGATTGTGATCGGCGTCTTTTGGTGAAGACAAGGTACCTACGCGATAGAAGCCGGGACCGATGACCTGGCGCACCGATTGTTTTTTCTTGCCAACCTCGAGCCTGGAAGGATCCACGTCGATGTTTGCGTACCTCGTTTACGCTCTCACGTTCTGCGCGTGGTAACTTATCAGTCCTCATGTCGTGTTGAGCTTCTCCATCCATCCTTCCTTATGTCCTCTGAGAGGACAGTGGACCCCTCTTCGTATCTTCGAATTACGTATCATTACAATTGATAGTGGGACTGAGCGCTTCTTTGCTTCCCAACTCCTACCTCAAGGATATAGAAGCACGCTGAGGACTTTGATGGCAAGAAGTCCGTGTTGCTCATCAGAAGAACGCAAATCCCCTCGAAATTTGCATGCAGCACGTTTCAATGAAATAAGTCAACCTTTACGTTCGTAGTTCTCTCTTCTTCTGATTTAACACCTAGTTGCGACGAGGCACCCGAGTTGCTA